TCTTGAGGTATTCTGACAGATGGCTGTCTTTCTAAGTTTATTTCCCAAGAGTTAAACATTACCCATACACCTTAGGTTTTGACCTTGACTCCCAGGAGGCTTTCCCTGTTTCCTCTGCTGAGGAGGAACTCTGACTTCCTGGATTCCACCTACTGACTAAGCTTGCAGGCAAAATCCCCTGTGGGCCAACAATGCCCTGTGTGATGTCACCGGGCTCCGTGACAGCAACCTGAAGCAGTACTTTGAACACTGTTGGTGCAGACCTACCCAGCATGAGCCAGTAAAAAATTACATCTTTCCATCACTCACAGACATACACCTGATCTCACTTATGCTTCTGCTTGGCAAATAAACCACTTTCAAAGCAGCCAGAGTGAGCCACCTTCCTGGCAGGTGAGGGGTGCAGGTGCTGGTGTGGGGACAGAAACTCGGGGAAGTCCAGTGGGAGCAGCCATTCAGCTACAGGACCGGGCTCTGGGGAGCAGGACTGAGGTTTATCTGACCAGCAAAAAGCAAGGTGGCCACCAGTCCGGCTGTACCAACCCTACTGCTAGAAGGGTTCTGTGGAGGCTGTAACTCCTGAAAAAGGCTATCTGTAATATCCTATGTGCTCTTTAAATTTATGTTATAAGAAAAATCAATAGAGAGAAAAAAGACTTTAAAGTATTAGAAGGTTCCAGATACTATCTGGAGATCGGTATTAAGATGGGCTCAGGAAAGTGAAGCGTTACAAAATACCTACAGACAAATTAGTCATATTATCAAATAAATGTAAGGTCATGCTCTCCTGACCCTAAAGCCTCATGGGGGGTGGGGGGGCGGTGTTGCACATGTGTGTGCACGCATGTGAGGATCAGATGTCATCATGAGGTGTCTTTCTTAATCACTTCATCTCATTTTTAAATTTTTTTTTCTGTTTGGTCTTTTTGAGACAGGGTCTCCCTGTAGCCCCAGCTGGCCTGGAACTCACTATGTAGACCAGGCTGGCGTTGAACTCACAGAGATCCGCC